TTCAGGAGTTTTCAAAGTGAGAGCATGCCAGGGGAGGCGTGCAGATTAGCAAACTAATAATTAATTATGTATTTAAATTAATGTATCTTTAAAAGGAACTGTCTTTAGAAAAGTTTCAATGTCATTTTCATTTAATCTTTCCCATAATGCCCGATAAAGAAGTGTTTATGAGCGGAGCGCTGCTTTGATTACAGCCATTACCAGGGAAACCGCCATTTCTGCCGCTCCAAAAGTGCCCCCTGCTGACAGAGAATTAATTTGAATTTTCAATCAATCAGCCTGTCTGCTGTTTCATATATAGCCTATCTTTCCCTCAGGTAAAGTGCTGCTACACATAGAGTGTAATTCTGTGGAAAACATGTGCAACGCTGACCTCATATGTCATCAGCCCGGAACTGCTTCCATGTACAACTGTTGGCGCAAGCTAGATTAAAGTGATTATTACGTTTTGAATATGGATATCTGTCTTACAAAAACGCATCAATTCGCTACAGGAGGTCTTTGTTCACCCCCCGGAGCCGTCTGAGACACTTTTTTTTAGGGATGCACTGAATGTTCGGCAACCGAAATTATTCGGCCGAAAATATAAGCGAAAAGACCAAATAAATTGTACCGAACAATGACATGACGCGATCATATAGCAACCAGCGCAGAGTGAGAGGCGCGGAATGTTATGTTATGTTTTCTAATACACGCGCGCATTGCATGTATTGTGACAGCGCTGCACGAACTCGCAACAGATCTGCTTGTTAACCAGGGTTCAAAGTCCAAAGCGCGAGGAAAATCTGTGCTGATACAGTCGTCATTTGCTCAGTCACATTTTTATGAATTTTAACATGGCATGTGACAATGCGATACGTACGACATATTCGTAATGAGACAACAGAATAAATCTGTTGTCAATAAAAATAAGCATTGGGGTCTTCCTGCGCGTTTCCGCCAAAATAAGTTGAGAAAAAGCAAGAACTCTTATCAACATTCATAAATGTTAGTATTGTAATTTTACTGTTGTTCTGTAAAATAAAATAAGTAGTAAGACAATAATAATGATAATAATCATTACAACAGCTCTGTTTTAATACATTATTATAACAATCACGTGTTCAAATTAGGATCTGTAATATTTTCTAATGTTTTAAAAGAAGTCTCTTCTCAGCAAGGCTGCTTTTAATTGTACAGTTAAAAAAATAAATAAATACATGCCTGATTAAAGAAGGGGTTCTGATGGCCAAAAATTATTATTTTACTAACTTATTAATTTTCAGTGTTAAATATTTTTAAATTGTTGTTTTGTAATTGATTTTTTTTTTGAAAAGCAAGACAAAACCATAAAAAGCACATATGGCTTTTTAATTTATGCAATAGTGACTGCAAACGCTCAGTCGCTGCCAAGATACGATTGCCTACATGACAATCAGATGTAATTAATTCATAACAAAAGTTTGGCTGCACGATCTAGTTTTATATTATTACTACCATTATTATTAATAATATTTCCATAATTTTATAATAGGGAAGTTATCAGAATTTTAAATTAACACAAATGGAAGTTTGGGGATTATTATTACGGTTAGTCATTGTGTTATTATGTAGTAACCAATCTAAAAAAAAAACAATGCCTGCACCATTAACCACTTCAAATCTTAACCGAAATCTCACATTTTATTCTGGTTATCCAAACATAAATAATTCAGAGATTGCATTCAAGTCAGAGAAATATCTTCTAAATGTATTATTTAATCATAAGGCCCAAACAGAGTAAAAAGGGGGAGGGGGGGGGGGCAGGGAATGAATATTTGGTTCATTCACTG